CCATACTCCGTGCTAGGTATCGGTCAAGTCGAAACTGTACCTACATAGGTCCAGCCGTTGAACGGTTATTGTTTTGTCCGCGATATTTATTTCTAGAGATTTATCGCATATATATGAAGGTGTTATCATCATGTTATCATCACCTAGGTGCATTTTTCAATCTGAATACATAGTATATTGAGCCCAGCCGAGAACTATTAAGGTACGACGTCCGTGTACGAAGTTTTACTAAACACATTAAAACAATTATATATTGTAATAATTGTCGTCGACGGTCGTAGTTTCGAAGAGAGCCCGTGTAAAATAAAAAAAAAACCTCTAGATAACTAACACTAATGGGGGCCCTTTTTTTTTTTTTTTTTTTGTCTAATCCCCAGAATACACGCCTATGATATTATTATTATTATTATAATCGTATGCGCGACAACAATGACGGGCGAGAGAAATAGGAGCGGCGCGGTTGTTCGACTGTGATGTTGTGAAGTATGTGTGGTAGCAAGTAGTATTAACATTATTAGGTATGTGTATTATAGCTGCTCCCGGCTAGAGTGTGTGTGTGTGTGTGTCTGTTAAAAAATATAGGCCCGCGCTAGAATAATATATTACACATTATTATATTGTATTGTTGCGAGCAATAAAAAAAAAAAAAAAATACTAGAAGACGATCATACGGGCCTCGATGAATAATCGTGTGTTCATCATCGTACGTTTGAATAACCCAAGGACCGAGAGAAATATTATTGGAATTCCTCGGGCCGGAAATAAAATAAATATATTATAAAACTCGGTCTTTAGAGCTTCGCACGGGAAGCCGCCGTCCCATTGACCCCCTTGGCTTTCTCTATCGTCTGACTTTGATTTTTAACTGTTGTAGTGAATCGCACCTCAACCTGATCTATCTACTCCAAATCTAACCAAGCCTATCCAATCCGAATATAATCTAAATCTGACACATGCAAACGGAGGGTCGTGTTATAATTATTTTTTTTTCGTCCAAAGGGAGGCCACCGCCACACCCTCGCTTGGCTTGGTCGTGCACATTTTCCTGTGTCGTCGTCGTCGTCGCCGGCTGCAGTTGCTGTGCTGCTCGCCGGCATCGGACCAGATCCGCCGGAGATGTCTATTTTTAAACGCTCTAATACAAGTATATATTGTAAAAAAAAAAAAAAAAGAAATATACATATACACACATATAAATATAAATCATGTGCACCGTTTGTGTGGAGAGCGCGTGTTGCGTTCCCGCACAAGTCAAAAGAAATAGAAGGAAGAAAAAAAACCGCTGCCCGTAACTAATCATTGTTATAATATACACAGAGTATCAGTTAATCTGCCCGTCAATCACACGTGTCGAACCCTACAGCAATAGCAGAGGAGGTTGCTATAAGGGGGACGGCTTTTGGGGAAAATGTAATAAATCTCCCCAAGGCTAAGTGACTTTTGGTAAAATTCCAGGGAACCGACTGGAATTTCATTGAGGCCCCAAAAAAAAAAAATAAACAAAAAATCTACTCGACTATTTAGACAGTCATGGTTTTAAACAAATATAATTTTACGCCTAACCCGTTCGAGTTGATTTGGTCAATTCGGAAAATATGTATGTTAGTTAACCCGTGCAAATAGGCCTAGTACAAAATAGAATGCATATAGGCCGTCTGTAACGCTTCAGTTCCGCCAACACAACCTTGATCTCCTCACATAGCGTCAGTAAACAAAAACACAAAATATCTTCTGTAGTGTTTACAACCGATAAACCGTGGCAAAGTTTTCGGGAGGTCCTAATATAGATATTTTGGATGCTTAAACCAACGGTTGCACTTAACAAACACAGCTAATTATAACCGTTTCTGTCGAAGCCTTGGGCGCGTGTGCGCCTAACGTGGACGAGATACCGCCGCACTATCGGAGAAGGAATTTCGGTTGATACTTAACGAGATAACGGTGCGCGTTCTTATTTGTAACAATAACGATAAAAAGGGATACTTGGGCGGGTGGAAAAAGACGATAATATCGTTTGAAAACCGTTTTTGTACGAGTCATACGGGACACACGATGGCTCGGCGCGTTAGCGTGGTAATTAATCCCGGACAAATTGAGACACGCGGCGTTTGTTTGTTTGGTTAATTAGTTGTGTGTGTAGACGAGTCCACGGGTTGCGGTCGTCCAAACGCGATTAAAAAAATAAATAAAAAAAAGCGGTAGTTTTTTTAATGGTGACAATGGACGGGTCCCGGGGGAGGTCGCGACCCCGAAGAGTAGTGTATGGCTGAACAAAAAAAAAAAAAACAACAAAACGGTCTAACCAATAAACGGGGGAGGGGTTAATGATCTTTATATTATCAGAACGACCGGCTCTCTGTGAGTTTTTATTAATTGGTCGCGATGAATGATTAAGACGATATTAGTTTTCGAGACGGCGCACACAAACACATACCAGTTAATAAAAAAAAAAAAAACCACACATACCAGTCGACCACTGTGATGTAGTATTCGTTCCCGTACATCATACAGGACCGAATACACTAGGAACAGTACACGTGTAGTGAGCAGCATAGGCGTGGGCGGACTTTCTCGGCAGGTAAAGCTATTGCAAGAATAAGAAAAGAAAAAAAAGCCCAGGAGTTCCACCGGACCCGTGACCCGTGACTCGCATGAAGCGAAATAAAGAACTATAACTCTTTCTTGGGGAAAAGGCTAACATTTCCAACGGATGACCTTACGAAATAACAATGGTGAAAAAAAAACTATCAGAATAGTTTTAAAAAGCTATCGCGGGTTCAGAAGCACAACGAAAACGACATAATTGTAGAAGCTAAAACATGCAAACTGGAATTCGACTTTGTTCATTGCATTGTACGGTTAAAGATGTATTTAATAAAATACAATTATTGTGAGAGAGACTGAAGGGTCTAACAATGCGGGTTTTAACCAGCGAAAACTAGAGCGACAGTCGAAGGTCGTAATGCCCTCCCACGAAAAATCTTTGTATTATTATTGATCAAGTAATTGTTGAAATTTTCAGGCACCTTCTCACTAAAACAATTTTCGGTTGGTGTGGTTAGTAGAGGTTAGGTTGGTGGTTTTGGATGGGTTAGGTAAGTTTAGATTTGGTTTGGATAGATAAAAGTTAGGTTAGGTTAGCCTGTCGGTCGCGTTATAAACTCCAAATAAAATAGGTAAGTACACAATATAGATGGACAACGAAATGATAATCCAGAAATAATATCGCCATTTGTTACACATTAGCGTTGCCCGTCTATAATATGATCTATGATAACAATAAGTAGAATCAGAATTTGTAGTATTATTTTATCATAGGTATATTATATTGTTATCGAACAGCGGCGTGTGGTCACGGCTACTTACGAATTCACGGTCACGCGGTCACAGCATCCTCTACAGGTGTACTTACAACAATAATAATAATAATAATATGATCCTCGGTCGCCAACCGGGTCACATAGGTACACATCTGACATACCTTAACAACACACACACACACACAAAGGGAGCCGCTCGCACGCGGACCATATACTACACACTACGTGCGGGGGATGTGATATTTATTTTGGGCAACTCCGTTTTTTTTTTTTTTTTGGTTTTAGCCCCGAGCCGAGCCGCGTTTATTTTCATAATAATATATTAATAAACACACACACACGAGTGGGGTTTTATGCCCGTGAAAATGTTTTCTCGTAAGAAATCTCTAAAAATAACACACAACGAGGGTTCATTAATCAAACATTCCACCTCTGCTCGGGCACCCCGTCAGCGCCACCGCCGCCAGAGACGCTCGTTATTATTTAATTTTTGGGGAGGAGGAGGATACCACAGCGACAACGATGACGTCTCCCAAAGGGATTCGCACCCGTTAATCGATTGTACACGTTATTACCGCCGAGTATAGGTACACACACGGATGAGCACGTATACTTGCGGTATGGAAAAATAATAATAATATGCGACACGCGGTTGTCATAGACGGTTAACGGTCGACCGAACCCCGTTTACAGATTGCTGCTGCGGGCCACCCTTTTCCACCCCGGTGTTACTTTTTGCCCGAAATGACCGATTCCCATTTTTAAGGGCGACGACCGTGTGTAGATTTTTATTGCTATCCGAGTTCGGGGCCTGTACAATATTATCATTGTGCACGATACAGTATACAGTCGAGCTGTACACGTTATATTATATTATTACACATATATATATATATATATATATATATGCCGTGCCTGTATGTACGGCAATAATTTACCCGCAAACTACTGTCGGATGTCGGTTCAACGGCGTGTGACCCGCGGTGGGTTTTTTGACTATTATTTTTTGGGGGGGGGGGGCGGATCGAGCAAATTGTCATAGATGGCCGATCGCGTACACCGTACGGCTAATAAAATAAAACATATTAAGTACCTGTATTATTATTATTATAATAGCCGGCGTTATATTATTATTATTATTACTATACTACTAGGTAGGTAGGTAGGTAGATACGATTTATCGTTTAACGGCGTTTGCGCTTTGTAAACAGATAACGGCCCACGATAACATCCCTACGCGCAATTAAATGTTTACATGTAATATTATAACAATGTATGTATAATAAACCGGGCGAAATTCGATAATATAACGGTCTAGTATAGTAGGTAAATATTATATTGATAATATAATATATATATATATATAGGTGGTAACGGAATACAACTCCCCGTCAAAAGGGCGGGTGAGGGGGGGTGTAGGTTATTTTGATTTTTCGGAAAAACAACACCACCGGGCTGCTCTCGGCTGCTGTCGCCGATAAGGATATCGTTGTTATACCTATATTATTATATACTTTGTAATATACTGTTACTGGGGCACCGGTGGTATCGGGTTGCTGCCACTCGGGACACGCGGTGATAAATGGCGCGGGGATACCTAGGTGTACGTTATTCGTAGGTAGCCTTTTTTAATATTTTAACATAATATATTATTACAATATATTTTTTTATCAAACTCACCTCTGTCGACGGCCACCAGGGCAAACAGCACGGTCAAACACACGAACAAGCCGAAAGCCGACTGGGGTTTTTTACCGGAGCGCATTTTTGGCGGACTTGGTGTACTCGGTAGGTATAATAATAATAATAATATTATTGTTGTCGGTGTCGAGTGGTCGTCGTGCACCTCCTGTACAATATATAATGGTGTTCTTTTTTTTTTTTTTTATTCTTCTTCTTTCTTCCCGGCCGGCAGCAGCTGCTTCGCGGTACTAAAAACTGTATCAGCTGCCGGTACGGTATCTACACCGTCGGCGCGCGGCGACTGCTAGCAAGTAGACCCGCGCGTGTGTGCCCGTTGACTGGATTTTGGTACTCGAAGACAATTTCCCAAGCCGATGTATGTGTGTGTGTGTGTGTGTGATTTTCTTCTTCTTCGATAATCCTCCACGGCGGGGCACGTGTGTGCGCGGTTAGGTAGCCGAAGACACACGACGGGTCGACGGACTAACGGAAAAAATCGCAAAAAAAAAAAACAAAATTATACTATACGGAAACGAAAAGTATTTTATTGTTTTTTTTATGGCACGATTAACAGACGGACAATAAGAAATGAAAAAAAATTAAAAATCAATCGTAACGGCGGCGGTTTACCGGCGACGACGGTACAGACACTCACAACAGACAGACCGCGACTCGTCGACGGCGTTCTACTACTAACCGACTGTGTGTGCACAGCAAGCCGACCGGCTAAACGAACAGCGCTGCCAGTCGTTTTATTATTATTATTTTTTTTTTTTTATTTTCCAAACGCGCACTGTCGAGTGGTATTTTATAATATACATATACATATATATATATATATATGTGTGTATATGTATATTGTAAATGGCAAAGAGGGCGCAGCTGACTTGCCGTCGCCGGCCGGCCGGCGCCCGGACAAAACGAACCTCCTCCCCCCCGCCCCACTTCGCCACTCGCATTACAACGGTCGTCTTCCCTAGGCCCCGACACCCCCTCCCGCCCCCCTTGCCCACACACACTTTTGACTTTTCCCGCCGTGGTAAATCACCCGCGCGTACAGCCGGACCGTGTATACTGTATAGTGTTGTGTGTGTGTGTGTTTGACGACGAGAACGGACCGAATCGAAAAGGGGAAAGGCCGGGGCACGAGGCACGGTACACATCAATCATCCCTTGGCCGGCCAACCGCCCCACCGTCGTCGCCGTTGTCATATTTTTCAACAAAAAAAAAAGTACCTAATAATTATTATTGTCATTGTCGTGTACCTACACATTGCAACGGTCGGCCGATTTTTGTAGTTTTGCCGCCGACAATCCGAGGGCGAAAGATTATGTGTAGTGTGCAGTGTTGAACAACTTAGAAAATAAAGTATTTTTTTTTTACATATAAAGTGGTCACACTGTCGCTCGCCATTCTTGATCGCTTCGTTACCGTGTACAACTGCAGTGGCGTAGTTATGAGGGGGGGATGATGGGGATAGATCCCCCCAGAGCCTTTTTTTTTCGTGTTAGATGTATGATACAAGTAAAATAAAAACATAATACCTTTAACCTACCGAGTCCTTATCTTGGTTTTCACATTGTACCTATCATACAGCTCCGAAATCAGCTCTTCAAGCTCTAACTGAGTGTGATGATCAAATGTTTCCCAATTTATTTAAAATTATAAACACATTTTATGCACATTGCCAGTATCAACCACCAAACCTAAGCGGATGTTTTCCACTCTAAAAAGAATAAAGACATATTTGAGAAACACCATGTGTGAAGTAAGAACAAAAAATGCTAACATTTTTTATGCATTGTGATTAAATAATTGTCAATACATTTTAATAATAATTAACTATTATTTATTTTAAAACAGGATAGAGCTATGCTGGCAGTTCATAAAAATATAGAACTAGATACTGAGAAAATAATAGATGAGCTAGCCAAAAAACCTAGAAAAATAGATCTAATTTTATAAATAAATTATGACCCCTCTAATAAAGTTAATTTGTTTCAAATGTTCAATGTATTTTATGTTATAAAATATTTAACTGTGTACAGAAGTATATTAAAAAAAAATGTAAACTTGAATAAGGGGTGGGGGTCGTGCCCCCCCCCCTCTACTCAAAAATTCATCTATTCCCCCCCAGAACAAAATCATAACTACGCCACCGTGTACAACGCGTTGTATAATGTTACAGCTATCAATATTTTTACTCTGTATGGTATTATACGGTATTTCTATACTTACATCACTGATGTAACATCATCAGTTGTGTATAAATATAATTTTAACATCAACGAGAACCCCATCCAAAAGTCATTGTTTACATTAGGCGTCCTCTCTGATTTAATCTACTTTATCAACCACCCCTTCCCCCCTATTGTTGACACCGTTCCAGGCGTTTAATTGAAAGTGATTTTATTACCCAGCCTATTTGTCCTTGTGATCACCGATCTATTCGTTTGCTCTAACTTTCGGTTTAAATTTGTGAACGAGCTAGATCAACGCCTAAGTGACTGTAATAATGCTATTGTCTTAGTGGACGTCTCATATCTTGTCATAAATCTTTTTTATTATAGGCGGTTTATCCCTAAAATCTCTTAGAAAGATATTTTTTTCTGTTTAGATGAAAAAACAAGTTTTAAATCGCTGTCGAGGATGTAGTGATAGTCCGAAAAACAAATTACCTTTAACTAATTCGTTAACTAATAATCACTCATCACAGCTTAACCTTTTAGTTAATATTTTGCACACAATTGCCTATACTTAACTCTCTTTAATAAATAGTGGGTACGACGTCCTCTTAACTTCTTCGGTTTTTATTTCCTCCTATACTAATTATCTTATTCACAATTGTTCCTATTTAAAGGCATTACTTAAACACTATCGACATTTTAAAAATAATAGTAGCTTGCTTTAATCTGAGTTTCAATACGATGAAATCTTCACGATAAATCCTAATTTAAACCAAATTCTTTATGCTCTTCCAAAAACTCTTAAAATAATAATTACAATAATAAATCGACTTTTATTTTATGAGTAATCCCTTTTTATTCCAAATGGGTTGTATTTTATAAAGGAAAAACATATTAGCGTTGCACCCGAATGGAATTGTTATCTTATAATCGAAAATAGTTCAACTAACAACTTATTCTTATACAATATTTATAGCGGGCATAACTGGGAGTCGCGCCAATAGCAAGAATAATGTAATAGAATAGTGAAAAAAAAGCGATAAAAATGTAATAGTAAAACTGATTGGGCTTAAAAACAAACCGTGTAATTAAACAGAATCGTTTCACTTCTACTAAACAGGATAGCGTTGGAAATCATTGACTTTTATTACATAGGCTATTTATCATCTGCTTGTTCCCATTGCCATCAAAGCCGGAGCGACATAAGACTGTAACGATTTTGCTCGAGTGGAGTTGATTGAAATGTTATTAGTTTAATTGCAATTTCAATAAATGATTTATATATAGTTAGCGGGTAATTAACTTACTTAATGAGTCTCACTGCTCAATTTTTTCTGTGTATTTAAAAAAAAACGTGTCTGTTTTTGTGTGACGTCCGTGTCTACAAGAACGCCGAATAAAGAAAGCCTAGTGGTATTTTATTTTATATAATAACAATTGCTAATAGTACTATAATAGTAGTCTATTTTCATTATATAGATAGGTACACGCCTGTATTACAACATGGCGCCAAAACAATTATTATCGACTTAATAATTAATAACATATACCTAATGACTTTGTAAATTTACTTTTTTATAAAACAAAAACAATACCTACAATTATTTTATAGTTTTAATTTCGATTTCGCTATTCACTCAAGTTCACACATTCTTTACCACTACTCCATTGAACTATTTGGAGTTTTTAATCAAGGTTTTTATTTTTTTTTTTGTTTTAAATGGCTGCGGTAAATTTATCAACGGGTATCGAAAATGCGTTATTTTTCATTAGATGGTCGTATTTAATATCTTCACGCGTGTGTCTGGATTTAACTCACACAACGACACACGATATTATTGCATTTTACAAAATAGGTGTACACGTATAATGTAGTTAATACGATTCGTAGTAATATAATATTGTGTGAAGAAAAAAAAAAAGAAGAATACTTTGGCTCATTTATGACAGTATCGAATGGCACAGACTTGGTGATCGGATTAGTTCTCAGTTTGAGACGAGCACCTGTTGTTACAGCACAACGACTACTGTCTGAAACTATACTGCTCTGTTCGACCGAGTTTACATAATAATAATATTATGGTTATTGAGTTAACATAGCTGTTATTCGGACAATGAAGAGATATTATCATACCCAGAGGGTACATAAATAATTAGCCTACTAGACCCTGGTACTTCAGCAAAGTTTGTGGGGTTCATTATCCTAGATTAGACAAGTAATCTATACCTAATCCCACTGTAATCGATTTTACCCACCTGTGTATTTTAAAAATCAATAATACAACAAAAGAGCGGATTTTCACATACATATTTTGATCATATTTTTTTTTTCATTAAACAAGTATGTACCTATTATTTTTAAAAGTGGCTGTTTTAAAAGTTGTGTTGACATTTTATTAAAAAAAAAGGTTTGGTATTTAGAGAAATTGTTTTTAACATTTCAATTAAACATTTTGTTAGTATCTTTCAGGAATAAAATGTTTTGTAATTTCAATATTGTATATTACCTCTCAAAGAAATAGCGTGCAATAATAATTTGTCTCTTTGCTGATTTTAGGTTTTTACATATCGATTGGCTTTATACGGTAGCTCTGCGGGAATGGAAAATGTAGACATTTTATTGGCGCAGAGAATTTGTAGGGAAAAAAAATTATTATTTTCAATGTCTGAGGTTGTTTTTAGGTTTGAGTTTTGTTTTTTTTTTTTACACAAATTTTACCGGGTTTTCAATGGGGTATTTTAAGGTTTTATTGGAACTTTTTAAACCCTTGAAATCCGCTGTCTGTATTGGAGCTGACACTGATGATCGCAATTAAAGAGTTGTGTACGTTTCCAGCTGTTGATATTGATTATTATTTGTTTATTCGATTCGCAATTAATAATAATAATGTTCGTGCAGGCAATACTAATATATGTACTTAATAATAATCTTGTAGTACACGACGAGAGCAATAACAATAACATAATATTTGTATTGTTAATGTCTGATGTGTAATGCACATTCGGATAACCACAATACCCGTGTTGTAGTCTGGTGTAGTAGGTCGTTTAGGTTTCCCTTAAATTCCCGTCATATCGTCGCCGGTAATGGCCCATTACACGAGCTTTATGGGACCGATATTGCCTTAATCGCCTTAATAAAAAGAAACCGTCTACTTTACCCGCGGCTATAATATGTACTGGAATTACCTGGTGTTATTGTTCGTATTATTAAAAGCCGTTCGATTGTCTTTTTATCGTTCCATTCAATCAACACAATGCACTGTGACTAGATTTGTCGCGGTTACAACATAATATAGTGATAACAGCGATATTATTATATTGACCTAGGCGTTATTGAAAATACTTGAAAAAGAAACATGAACTGATCAATACGACACAGTATTAAAATGTCTACAAAGCACAGATAGATGTAAAATAAATTAGATTTCTAAGTGCACACGCCGCCCTTGGAGATAATTGAAATTACCATTTTCCGCCATCCTTTTGGGAATTAGAA